CTGGAAAAAATTTCCCCCCTTCCCACTGGAATGTACTGCTAATCCCGTAATTCTTAAAGTGTGGTCTGAAGACTTCTGAGGCTTTCGGGGCTTCAGGAGGTCCTTTTCTACTTAAATAGCTGTGAGGCTAGATTTTCATCAGGTTCTTCGACCAAAGCAACACATTGCAACAGATCAAATGCTGAAGAGATGCAAGAATGCAACTATAGACATGCTTCTTTTTATTGAACTTCACTTTATTGCGCTTTACAGATGTTGCATTTTTTACAAAGTGAAGGCAAGACCTTCCACCAGCAAAAAGACTACTACTCACTTTATTGCAATACTTGCTTTATTACAGGGTCTGGAACCAAAACCAAAATATCTCCCAGGTATGCCTGTGTCTATTTCCCTAGGTCACATCCTTTCAGTTATCAATCTGTTTATAATCTAAAGTTGGGTCCAGGCTCCTGGTCAGAATCTATACATCTTTCTCCTGGCTGATGCTAATAATTGATCTCCTCTTAGAAATTTAGTTAGTGCTCCTTTCTCAAGGGAGTTCAAATATTAAAAAGACGAAATGACCTGAGATTAACATGGACTCATAAATCCTAAGGCTTTTGATTGTTCCACCTATTAGAGTGAGCTAACATCCTACAACTGATCTTGGCCAACTCTTAAGGAGACCCATGGTTGTTGGCTGCCATTCAACAACAGCTTTTAGTCAGCACTTCCCAGCCATGGAGACTCCAGGATCTATCTGCTCCTCTTCTAGGCGAGTCCCAGTGTTTGCTTCCTCAAATAGCTACAGGTTGGCTGAGTCTTTCAGCCACTGGACAGCTCAGTATTATTCCCTTAATACCTGCAGCTAAAGCATTTATCTACCTCTCTAGAAATATCTAAAATGTCTGTAGCTCTCAAGTCCTCTAAAATCCTATAAAAGAAGTAAGCTTATAATACTGCATGTTGTCACACCCATGCTATATTTTCTCCATAGCAGTCACTACCATTACTTAAATTCTTATTGTTTTCCTATGTATTATGTCTCCCCTTCCCCAGGACTTTGTCTTGTTTATAGTTGTAGCCTCAGTACCAGGAACAGCGCCTGATATGTTTATGCTCAATACACCTTGGCTTTGAGTTTGAGTAAAGAAGTGCACAGGAACAGAGCATCTGATTGACAGTTAACCTGAGAGTCTATGTCCAAGGTAAAAAGGTAACTGGAAAGAGCAAGGTATTAGTCTAAGGGCCCGGGAGGGTCCATATGACCAGACCTTCCTTGGTTCCCGGCATAGGAATTCATGGCTTTGGTATTTTGTGGGCCTCAGGTGCTCAAATAGACTAGCCATTAAGGGTAGACACTGAAGTGGCCAGGCAAAATTCTTTACCCTAGGAGTGGTTCTATCTATTTGTATTGATAACTTAAAAGTGTGGGGGGAGCAGAATATGATGATGAAAAGCCCTCTTTCCAGTGAGTGGGATGAGAGAGAGACTGGAGGAGGCACTGATATAAAAGATGAAAATAGAGCCCTTAGATTCCAACCTCTGTCTCCAGGCTAGTCTCACTGAGGCTGGCATAAAATAATTGGTATGATTAAAATAAATACAGCCCTCTAATTTTTCCCCCACAAAGCCACATACAGTAAATAAGAAATTATTTTGAGAAACCAAAGGTTGGGGGTAAACAGTGGTACCCCTTGCACTTGAAATGTTCTGAATGGAAATTTCCCTAGTGAGAACAGGCACTGAGAGGTAATAACATAGGTGATTTCAGCAATGTGTAGGAAAACCCTGGGCTGTCAGATATAGAAAAAGACGACGTACCATGAGTGAAGCTACCCCAAAAAATCAACTCTAATGTCTAGGACCATGCTGTTTTCATCGCATCTCTCTGATATCAGGTGGGTGGATAATCATGCCTTCCCTCTTCCATCCCTTTCATAACACACACACACACACACACACACACGAACACACCTGATCTCACTGGCAAAATCACAGCTAATGCACTGTACTAGGCTGTATCTTAAGGATACCTGTGAAAATGCAGAGACTCTTTCCCTGAGTCCAAGGCAGATATAAGGGATACTCTGGAGTATGTTATGTTTTGTTTATCTATAGAGAAACAAAAACTATGGTTTATAAATTAAACCAACCTCCCTCCCTCTCCCTCTTTCTCTCATTTTGTCCACACTGAATGCTTTCTCCACTTGTAGAAAAGCTATAGTCAATGAACTGTTGTGGAACTAGAAATATGTAAATAAAGTGAGACCTTTTGCTAACTGCCAGGCTGCCAACATGCATTGAACAGATCTGCATCCTCTCCACGTGTTTTCTCCCCATCTTCTTTATACTTTCTCTTTAAAAAATTAGCTAAAACTGCATTCTCACAACAGGTCACAGTACTATTTGTATTACTAAATGAGTCTTCTCTTGTCTAAGAGGACTCCTGAAAGGCTTTATTTATCGTAATATGTTCCTCTAGTGCATTATGTAGATAATTACTTGACAATAGACCAGAGGAGTAGGGACAAAGAGGACGAATTTAAAACCAAACCTACTGCTAACTGAAAATGAATCAAAACTAGACAGAAGAATTTTAAATTTTTGATCTTTAGTGAATGAAAAATAATTGTTTTAAAAATCAACCGTGATGCAAATTTCTTCTAAAATGCCGTAACGTTTATCTATTTTCTTCTTATATTAGACATTTTTGGGAATGGAGACAAGCAGCGCCATACTAGTGACTGTATCCTAGACCTAACCATCTGTGATTTGTCAGCTGCACAACTTGTCCATCATCATGTCCATCATCAGTAATCCGAGCTGCTGAGGTTTTGTTGATATAATTAGTGTTACACTACACTAACCCTACTTAATGTTACTGATATGAGGATGGTACTTTCATCTTAATTTGAGAAGCAGAGTTAATAACCTGTCTCCCTTTTGATCTCTCGAGTAATGAAATTAGCTTTAAAAGAGAAGTGAGTTGGCTCACATACATGTATACAGGCCAGAAACCTGTTAAAAAGTCCAGTGCCATTACAATTTCACTTTTTTGCCAGATGCCATTATTGAATTGCAGGTTCATTAACTCTCAAATACTGTCTCCCACAATCTTCCAACAATTTCAGTTCCACTTTAATTTAGAGATAATGTTTGTGAATGAATTTTATGTTAATCCATAAACTATTCATAATTTTGTTATGGACTAGAAATCAGCACTTAATGAATAAAAAAACAAGATACTGAAAAAACATGCCCTTTTTTAATAGTTAATGCAAATTTTCACAGGGGCGCTGATCATCTTCTCAATCTAGGCCAGTGCATATTTATTGAACAATCAATATCCCTACACTTGACATTTAAACATTTAAATCGTATATAGCAACGTTAAAAGGAATAGTTTCAGCACTGTACTTATTTCTGTGTTAGTGTTTACTTCTCTGTTAAGTAAATAAAGGAGTGAAGTAAATGCAGGGGTGGGCAAAGTAGGTAAATTACCAGCCATCATTACCTAAAAGGTAAATCGTAAGTAAGGATACGAAATAATAAAAAAAGAAGACAAATAATACAAATAAATAATACAATAATAAATAAAATACAAGAATAAATCCTGTGTTTCAGTACTCACAACTGTAAATCTACTTTTGCACACCCTTGTATAGTCTCTAGTGTTAATTTAATCAAATGATCTCCTCATCTCCCCCTTTATTCTAAACAGTTATTTTCAAAGCTTGACAGACATTTCTTTGGCATTGCAGACCTATTAAGCAGTGGGATAGCATTGTGGAGAGAGTGACATTTCTATGCCATATTCTAATTTAGTGTCCTTTGGTCCTCTCTAAAAACAGGAGTTGTTGATGTTTTAAAGGTTTGAAATTATTTCTACTAAAATTGATACATATTATCTATAACTACTAAGTAAAGGAAAATTGATAAAATAGGATATACCAAAACATGGGAGACTTTCTCTTAAAAACGAGTTCTTGCACTTTTTACATTACGGTGTTATAGTAGAAGACATTGTATTTCCTTTTGGTAAGTCACTTAACACATAATTATATGCTAATATCATACACTGCACTAGACGCTTAGGAGCCGGAAGAATCAGTTCCAGCTTTAGGTTAGTAAACTTCGAACAAACGACACTCAGAGCAAAGGCTTTTTCTTTTCTTTCCAGAACGGACTTATCTGGCTTTCCCGCTTTAAGCACGTCGGGGCCTAGTGGGATATTTCCGGCAAACGCGGCCTCTTCCAAGCCTCAGTTTCGCAGAAGCTCCCCCTCTCAGGCTCCAGGGCAGCGGGAAGGTGGGTTTAGGCGCGCGCCGCCCCCTCCCGGCGCTTTACTCTTCTTCCCACCCAGGGCGGGGAGGCGACAGAAACGGAAATACCGGCCTCGGGGGGCTGGGCTCCGGGGACTCACCAGCTCCCCCTCCGCTCTTCCCCCTCGGGCCACTCAGCTTTCCCTCCCAGCAAAACGTCAACCCCTTCCAGCGACCTCAACATCCACCTGCTCCAGCGCCCCACACCCAGCCCGCCTCCAGCCGGCTGCCAATCACTGGCTGCCGCAGGTTCTGTGCTACCGAGACACCTTGGTTTTCGCTCCCTGGTTCCGCCCCCTCCAAAACTGCTTCCCGCCCTTCGGGCTCTTTGTCCAATCACCAGCTAGTGAGTGTCCTTTGGTTCCCGCCCCCTCAATCCCCGCCTTCCCGAAGTCCCGCCCTCTCCCTTAAACCTGACGGAATCACCTGACCCGGAGGCGCTCTGTCTGAAAGGAGGCAAGAAGGGGCGTGTGCATGGAGGGGAGGGGCACGAGAAGAAAGGGGGGATGCCGGGAGTGGGGCGGGGAAAAGGGTTGTCAATCCAATCTCGCGAGAGAGGACGGAAGCCTGTGGGAGTCCGTGGCCTTTAAAGTGCCGTTCAGCCCTTTCCTCCAAGGGTAGTTTGTAAACACTGCTGAGCTCAGGCCTCCCTGGCGACCGAAAGGAGCATGAATTAGTGACTTAGAAAGGTGAGTGGTGATGGGGAGAGGGCCGCAAGGCTGGAGACTGTAGGGCTATGGAGAAAGAAGGCACTAACATGGCGACGTCGCTCACCATAGTCCCCACCCCCCGCTTCCCATCACCTCGGGCGCTCCTGCCTCGGCGCCCAGCCCTCGGGGCGACTGACTGTGCTGCCACCCCAGCGGCCGCGCTGCGTCGGCTTCTGGAGCCCGACCGCCCGGCCGGACCGTTAGGTAACTGCCGTTCGTTGTTCCGGCCCCTCCCCGCTCGCGCGCTTTCCTAACGAAGAGGAAAAAGGAATAACGGCTCCTCTTAGACCCCTCCCCCCGATTTATCTCCTTTAGTCAGTTCAGAGGTTCCTGGGTAACGCGTCGGGTCTGCTCAGGGATCAGGGAGCCTCCCTTCAGTCCTTGGTTTGAGCAGGAAGAGGGTTGGCTCTGGTTTCCCACTGAGAACTCAGTGGTTGGGGACTGTGTATGTGATGGTGGCGGGGATGTGGATGGGGAGGCGCGGCTGGAAAGAGGGTCAGGGTCACTTGCTGCGGTGGAACATGAAGGAACAAATGGTATGGAGAATCTGGGAATTGGAAGTCTCGGCCTTTTCTGCCCTTTCTTCCCCCTCACACTCCCGCCACCCCCACTTATCCCGGTGGGGCGGGGCTGAGGTGTGGATGTGTATTGATTCTTTTATTTCCCCCCACATTTCACCTCCCTGGGTGGACTGCAGACCTTCTGTTGGGAAATAACCTGTGCTTTTCATTGATGCCCTAGAGACCAGAGCCGTGTGTGTGTGTGTGTGTGTGTGTGTGTGTGTGTGTGTGTGTGTGTGT